ATATTTATCGTCAGTGGCGTAGGCCTGATCCGATAGCAATTGTGTGTGATGGATATTGTTTACTGGTATGAGAAATTCGCTAAAACAGAAATTGGGCATTTCAATGAGGGGCGTATTTATTGCGGAAACAGAGACGCCACACAACCAGACTTGGCAATACTCCAAAAACAAACAAACACACTCATGTATAATAATTATGAATACATAACATTTTTTTTTTATAAATATCTAAATTCGAAGCGTTTCGAAAATTAAGATAGAAAACAAAATTGGACAATCGATGTATTTGTATATTTGAACAATGTAACCGTAAAATTCGTATACTTTTCACTATGAATATATCTTTAAAATAAGGATCGTTTTACCTGGGCTTCTTGTTAATACCTTGGTTACAGCACCAGAGCATCCCTCACATGCCATGTGAACTTTAAATTCGTATTTCTAAAGAAATATAAAGTAAATAAATAAGTAAATAATTTATGATACAATGGAATGCGTTTTTTACATGGACACACCTTAAGCACGGAACACTCTCACACAGGTGTCTAGTATTCGTCATTGCATAAATTTTCCGTAAATATCTGATATTGTAACAGTAGTCCAGGCCGTTATCACCATTTCTGCGTATGACACGAAGAGTACCTGAGAAGCCATTGATTTTTCTTGGGGTAAATCTTCTAAATTCTGTGTCGCAGACAGTCGGAATGTGCTGGCTGAACAAAGTTCCAGTACAATGATTTTAAATGTTTGCTTAGTGCATTGTTTTGTGTCATGTGATATGTCATGTGGCTACGTCAGCTGATCGCTAATTATCATAACCCAAGGACATTCGGTCAGGTGATACGTAGTCTACCGTTCCAAATCACTGGTTCGAGTTATGAATAGTGTATGGTGTATGTGAACAGAAGTCAGTGATTACAAACTCTGATATTATATTAAAGGAACATGACGTGCATCTAATTACCTGGGATCAGGGTAGGGAGTGTACCGGAGTTTTCTAAGACAGAAATTGTAACCGGAAGTGTTAGTTCTTAACATAAATAATTGCGCAGCGCAGTAAATAATGGCACAGTGAAAATGGCCGAGGCGGCAACAATGGCACACTGTATTATGGCAAAACATAATACGATACATAAAACAAGGACTGTGTTTGTTTTGGGGATTCATTTTTACTAGAAAATATCCGACGCCGGGGTATATTTTGAAAACTTAAAAAACTTATCAAGGCAGCTCACAAAAAAGTGAACACCGTCAATGTTTAATATACCCGTTTATGGTGTAGCAATGCTGAATATATAAGTACACGGTTGTCGGTTACTAAGGGATTTAATAATATGCAACTATTTGATTCAATATAAATAAGTCGTGCTTGCAACGTACAGTCATGGTAAATAATAAATAGAACGATGTCAGATGTTTCCAACTATATAATTATTGCTTGTATATTTGATATCGTTTATGTCTATTATTCCTGATCGTGTCTTTAAATACCATGACACAATTTGCCGTTATTTCCTGGTCATTTTTTTCAGACTCATAATTGTGTGTTTTTGAGATGTACTTTGGGGGAAATGGTATATAATGTATGTATTTATTATCAATTGTATACTGTCATCGGTACAAACTAGTATTTTGAGGACGGGCAACTTGAACACGATCACAGTCTGCCCTGTCCTTTATGTCATAAAATAAAATAATGCTGTTCGGGGGATGGATTTTCTAAGAAATAACATATTTTTGTTTATAACGGAGTGCCAGGGAAATGAAATGGTTATGAATAATTTCACAACATCATAACATAGTTGACAAACATTTCAATACCCGCATTACTCTTAAATATGTTAACAGTACACATAAGTAGTATGTGTCATATTCGACAGATTGTGTTTGCTCGAGTAAGTCATGGTCGATGAGGACGTTATCAGGGGGGAATCTTCTCTTCTCTCGGGGTCTCGACACTTGCCAGGGGGGAAATCGTCTCGTCTCTCTATCTCGTCCCCTTGAGGTACGGGATCGGGAAAGTCACTTTAACTTTACAGTCAAATAAGACACACACAACGAAATACGTTTCAGCTCTCGTCCAAGTCGATCAATCGAGCACTCTATAAGACACAGCGCCCTGGGGAAAAATCCCCTAAGACTCTCACAAGGCTGAACCAAGACTCGCCCAAGACTGGACTGCCTCAAGGCTCGCCCCAGGACTCTCTCGGACTCTCGACTGCCCAGGACTGCACTCGACTGCGTCTATCGTGGAGTATTCTCCAAGACCAACTCAAACGCTCTTTATTCATTTTCAAAACTCTAACCAATTACAAAACAGTAAAAGACTCTAGGGCGTAACCTTCAATCATAAAGCCAATCACATTAAGTACTGAATACGTCATATCTTTTGATTAATCGTTCACTACATTAATAACTACGGATGTCAGAATAGCGACGGTATCTTGTAATTAGTTCCAAACCACTGAGCCAAGTTCCGTCCAAAACTTCAAATAGGCCTACACGATGACAGACATAACACAGCAATTCGCTAATAATCAGTTAATTAAGTCGGTCAACAGATACGCAAAAACAAATTCTTGACAACGTACTAGTTAGGCTGTGGCGATGTGTAATGTAAATTAAGTTCGCCAAAACACATTTGAAGAAATTATTCGTCATTTTATTTTAATATGTATACATTCTGAATATTTGCATCCACGGGTAACCTTCTACCAGACTGGCTTCCAGTCGCGAATAATTGCAAAATGCAACTATTTCGTAACCGTGGCGAAACTATCATTTTCCATTATTTTAGTAAAACAAAAAAAATCCACAAAATCCTCCCGACTGAAACCAGTCTAGGCTTCTACCTTTATTCAATTATTTTGAATTACTTGTGACCATTTGTATACCTGGATAGTGGCAAAATCTATACCAAAGTACCATTTCTTTCATCACTTTTTATTCCAAATAAAACAGTTACCATATTTTCTCTATTAAAAGAGCATCTCCAATAGAAGCCAACAGTTGCATTTTATATTGATTTATTAAAATATGTATTTTGACCATAGAAACACCTCTGTCACTTACATAAGAGCATATTATTAACACAATGTTAATAAATATTACCGATATTTATAACTATCCTGACCAGAAATAAGACCGATACTTATACCTAAAATAAAAAAACGAGACACATTTTAGGGGTACGTCCCCATTAGGCAAGTTCTATGAATCCCCCCCCCCCGGGCCCATGCCTTGTTCTAGACTAGGTTTTCCAGTCTCTTGCTCTAAGCTCAACCTTGTTGAGGATGACCTTGGCCACGCTTGAGTCATGTATATCCATAACTCACTCTCACTCAGTGTTCATACATTGAACTAACTACCTCAATATCTCAATATATATTGAAACAATGATTTTCTGATTTCCTTTAACCCCTACAAAAATACGAGACAATTTCCATTATGGTTCTTCAAAATCTAGGTCGGGTTACCTAAGTTCGAAATTTAAAACAATCAATCACAAACAATAACTCTTGTCCAAAACGACGCTAATTACTGACCATCGGTTAGGAAAACAGAAAGAAAAGTGCTTGTCGATAACAAACTGAACATTATTGCATTCATCATAATGTTATGACCTTAATACCAGCCTGAGACATTCTCATTAAAGCCGCAGTCTTCGTACCAGTGCAGCGTAATTGAGACGTGTTGTATACGTCAGTGACAAATTACATGATAGATAGATAGTGTGTGTTGACTGTAGTCGGCTGATTTTTAGAATGTCGATGAACTGAACGTGTTTCATCACCGTAACAACTGTCCCTCGACTTATCGTCGTTGGCCCTATATACACAGCCGATTGTAA